CTAATCGGGCCAAATATAATATCCGGAACTCGAAAAAATGTGCTAATTATTGATAGGAATTCGTTGAGCAAACATGGGTCGCACGCGTAGGGACTGCCCTGTATTTGGTTGTGGTTGTACAAATCTTGCAAGGTTAGCAAATCATCTCGATCAAGTACATGGTATGAACACAGAGGAACGCAAGAAATGGTTAAAGTGGAGTAAAATAGGAATTTGTGTACCTCGACAGAGTGAAGAGCCAAAAGAATTCAACGTGGAAAAGAGTCTGAAAAATTTACTAGAGCGACAAGAAGAGATGGAGAGAAACTTTAACGTTACTTACAAAATGCAGGATTAAAGCATGGAGACAATAATAAACGAAAATCTAAATCGGAGGACCACAAGAAATGGTTGGCATTTTAGTTTATTTACTCGACTACGAGAAAGTACCATTTTTGCCTGCGAACAAGAAATGATGTGCATTCAAAGTTATGGATGTTAACTTTGTTAAGCCCGTAGAGCATTAAAGGACAGAAATATTAAACGGAGGATGGACGATCTAAACTGGAGAACACTGTAAAAGCCGCCGGACAATATGTTTAAGAACTGTTTATTTGTGTAAATAATTATATTGTACTTTAAAAAATAAATTGTTTAAAAATTGAATCTATGCCGTGTCAATTTATGCGAGTCTCATTAGCATTAACATTCAATACCATTTGACTGTACAGCGCTCCGTGATGCTCAAACAAATATTTGACATAATGGGATATTGTTCTTATGTTAACATCATTTTCCCGAAAGGCTATTGCATGAGTAAATGAACACACAGTGTAAAACGTTTCAAATATATATTCATAAATATGATTATACAAAGCTCTTTAATTATACGTTAAATGTTTATATAAATGTTTCAGTTCTGCTGAGCATCTGGATAATAACGACTGTAAAACAGTGGTACGAAAGGCGCCATGGTGTCAGACTGTTTTGGCAATTCCTCTGGAACCCATTCAAAATAATCACACCGGTTTTCGTTGCAGCAACAGAAGAACTTTTTACCCGTATTGGGACCTTGTTTCTTGACTCGCTTCACGGCACATGGTTCGTTGTGATAGCAATTCGGTTTCTCGATTTCTTTCTCATCTGCCCACATCCATAAGGAGCAAGGCTTCTCCCGACTTGCACACGTAAAATACGGTCGCCCATAAGACATTTTCAGCATGTCTTTAACTACACGAAACTTCGCGGGCTTTCGGTGACTCTCACATATCGGCTGCGTCAAACCTGTGACTCTCCAAGCTGTCAGAGCTGTCTGGAACAGATAACCGTCCTCTTCTGTACATAGAAATCCACAGCTGGGCTTCTGTCCACAAAACCAAAAGGAACCCTTGTCTGTAGTTGAATTGGAAGCAGCTTTTCCGTGCAAACACTCCATCGCTATAACTTTAAAATAAAACATTTTACTTCTTGCCTTTTATACAAAAACTCAACCCGCCAAATGATACGTGTTATGCTACAAATGTTATGGAACAAACGCTATGCGACATGTGTCACAGTAAAATAATTATCGCTAACCTCATCAGCTGCGCCGTCGTTCATTTCATCATAAGATCTTTTCTGTCCACAACCAACCTGTAACAAAGGCTCGTCGTTTTGCCAATCATACAGAAATCTCTTTCGTTGTTCTGGGGTCCAGGTATCCGAAAGATCAGCCACAAGCCACAATCGCTCGTTTTCTATTCGCCATTCCCTTATACGCTGAAAAATTTCCATTTTCTTCTCAAACACAAGCCGTTGTTCCGCTTCACTCAACGTAACAACAACTTCACTCAACGTAACAACAACAACAAATACTCGGCCCTGCACGTCGAGGATGACACAGAAATTGTCATTGATAGTGACGAAACTAAAGCGTCAGTAAATTCTGCGGGGAGTAGAAATAAATACTTTCCACATCACACACCAAAAACAAAGACGACCAGAAAACTACAAGACCCGAAACCAAGCAGTACAACATCAGCTCAACAGCGAAAGATTGCTATCCTGGGAGATTCAATGATTAAAGGTATAAACTCAAGAAAACTTCAACATGGCCTTAAACAAAAAGTCATTGTAAAAACATTCCCGGGTGCGCATGTAGAAGATATGACTCATTACGTGAAGCCAACTCTAGCCTCGAATCCAGCTGAAGTCATTTTACATATCGGTACAAATGACTTGAAAAACAAGTCACCCAGTACCCTACTTAAATTAAAACGGTAGACAATCTTGGAGAAATGATTACGGAGAGTAAAGATGTTAAACTGACATTATCAGAGATTATAACCAGATGTGACGATGAAACTCTAGCGGACAAGGTAAATATTTATAATGAACTTCTAGCTAACCTTTGTACTGAGCGAAATTGGGGGTTAATTAAGAACTCTAATATAAAGAAAGATCATTTGAATAACTATGGACTCCACTTAAACCCAAGAGGTTCGACGGTCCTAGCTAAGAACTTCAAACTGTATGTAAGTAATCAAAATTGACTAAATGTTAATACACAAAACCTAATGATGCAAGAACCTATTAGAAACTCCGGTGCAGTCTCAACGGATAACCAAAGCAAACTTTATCCAAAACTTAAGGGCTTTTCAATTGCGCAGTTAAATATTACCAGTCTGACTAAACATATTGACGAACTCAGGATTCTCATAACAGAAATGAACTTTGACATACTATGTATTAATGAAACAAGAATTGACAAAACAATTAAGAACTCAGAAATAGGACTTCAGGGATATGACTTAACAAGACGTGACAGAAATAGACGCGGTGGGGGTGTAGCAATATATATACGTAATACCATACCATACGTGGAGAGGTCAACAATAATCCCTGAAA